TAGTTTATTTTGAAATTTGAGTACAGTGGAAGTTAGACATGGCTGAACATCTGCTATTTTTTCATCAACCGAGAGTTTAGTCCTACTTATGTGTTCAGGATCAATGTTTAATTCATTCCTGATTGCCTTCAAAGCAGTATATAGACTGATTATGTTAAAACTAATCATTTTTTCATCTTTTGCCAATTGATGCAATCAACTCTTCATCTTATAATGAAGGCTTCGTAATCAAATAGAGTTCACTAATACTGAAGGTTTATAACCATTTGACTACCAACAATCCAGAGAATTCAAATTGGCCTGCTAATACAGAGTTACATAAAATTAAGACTCTACTCATAAGACATCCAATACTGATTTGCGCCTGATCAAGTTTATGATCAAAAGTTTACAATCAACGTAATTTTTTCTGAATAAAGTAAGAACAACAGTTTGTGCAGAATAAAATGATACCATTATTTGTTTAGTTCGCTTCTCATCAGTCGCTTACAGCCTTAGGATATTATGAAACTTATGTACAGAAACAGTGTTAACATACCTGCAATTTTCATAGCCTATCAGTTGACAGAGATGGCATGCAATGGTAAAAGAGTTGCGTAATAAAGACAATAGGCTAAATAGGCCAGAGACCAAGTATTCGAATGAGAGAGAGAGAGAGTAGAGACATTGAGTTACCAGAGTAAGGGAAGACTGAAAACCGCTTCTTTCTGAACATATAAATTAGGTTTCAGGTATTTGATAGAGATGGATTCGGCAAATTTGAGAACTGAATTATTCTGTTTTTTGATAATTTTAAAGGATTTTGCTATCTCTATCTCATGATCCGTATTTGCAAAAGCCTGCTTAAACAATTGGACCACAAGAATTTTCATCCATCAAAATACCTAAACTCTTCGGCATTTCTTATTGTTTTAATCATTCAGTTATATCAAATGATGCCTGCATGAACTCGCTTTGAACGAAACTCCACACCAATCTTGAAGGAAATGAAAAAAATGTACAGAAATGGTTCCGTCTTTATATGCAACCACAATATGTTACTTAATATACTTCAGAGTATTAATTTACATGTAAATCCTGTACGAGGACGAAATATTTTGGAACGCTGAAAATTTCTGTACTATGTTTTCACATACTGTCTGAAATAAAGCCTCATTATTTTATTATGATTATTATCAAGATGTTTGCCAGGGGCACTGTTGAAAGTGTTAGTTTCCTTGAAATGTAGGGTTTTTGGTACATGTTCAGAAAATCGGAGGTGTGGCCTTCTTTCTGTCCTTACAATGTAAGTGCGCTCTCAGATTCATGTAGATTTGTATACACAGAGTCAAGATGAGAAGATTATCTGCTAAATGTATACAAAATATTACATTTTTCAATAGCATCTGTAATGGGAATTTCATGGAATTAAGAAGTTTAAACATTAGCAATGCCGACATGTATGAGCTAATGATCTCTTAGCAAATGTTTAGGAAAGATAATATTTCTCACCTTTTTCAATCCTCCTGCGCTTGAGAAATACCTATTTTATGCATACAGTGAATAATATCCATTCGTTTCCAGGATCTCAAATAGAAAGCCTACATCCAGCTGCATTGGTAAAACTAGTTGTCGATGATTTTGTGGGTTCATTAGCTAGCCTTTTCCTTCGTATAATTGACATTTCACAGGAATCAATTGTTACTTTTAATATCTGTTTATCTTTGAAGAAAATATTGTAGTCCCAGCAAGTCAGTGGTTCAGTAGTTGAATGCTTGCCAACCCCGTACGATCTCCAAGTTTGAATTCCGGTCAAAAGCTCCTATACCTCGCCTAGTCAGTACTAAGTCCAGTATAAAGATAATGCTTGGCGTGTGGCTATCAACCCATCCTTGAGACTTCAGAGCTTAGGCTTGGAGCCCTATGTTCCACCTGGAATGTAGAGTAATGAAAAAAAAGATTGCAAGTTTATTATATTACCATTAGATCTATATAAGTGCGTCGGTGGCATAGCGGTTAGGACGCTCGCCGACCATGCACATGGTCTGCGGTTCAATTCCCGGCCGACGAACTCCTTTACCTCACTAAGCCAGTAATAAAACCTGGTAAAGAGGAAAGGTTGGGCATGAGGCTAGCAACCCCATCCTGTAAAAGTAAACACTGCTACAGAAACTTCAAGCCACTAGCTTGAAGCCGTATGTTCCACTGGGGAACGTGAAGGAAAAAAAAGACCCATATAAGTGTACTGCCGTTCCCCCATAAAAATGCCTTCAGTGTTGACTGAGCAGATCATGCTTTGAAGTTTATCCATCCAAATATGTGGACAGTATAATTCCTGTAAATTTATGACATAATTCAAACATACATTTAAATTTCATTAAAAACTAAAATTTCTGTATTCAGGGAATAGAAAAATAAATAGACTCAAATTAGTTTTTCTTGACTGGAAAATAATTAAATTTTGAAAAATTACTGAATTTTTCAGTAATGAAGTTATAAAATGTACAATTTTTATCTATCCAAAGCAAAAACTAATCCCTTATGGTTAAGAGAATTATTGTTTACAACTAATGAATGCGTTTTTCTATGAATGAAATGGGTCTTAAACATTTTGTTCTCAAAGAGGTCTACTGATCTCATGTGAGTGTGTTCAGTATACTAAGTGAAAGGATGTTCGTTAATAAGATAAAATAAATATATTTTTGACTGAAGGATATATCATGTAAAGAATGAATTTTTTCAATACTTACTACCATGAACTAATTTTAACAACAAATCGGATTAAAACAGGATATTTGCTATTTAAATTACACTGAATTTACAGCCAGGATGATCACGATAAAAAAATAACGAATGTCAGAAAATTTGCTGAATATTAGTTGATAGAAGTTGATTGTACAAATAATCTTACATTTAGCTGACGGTATAATCAGAAGCTCTGAAATTTAAGTAGTGGAGATGGTATCGTTTTTGTGGGGCGGGTGGAGTAGCCATCCTCAAGCACGACATTCCCTTTTTACAGGACTTACCCTCGGCTACGCGAGGTTTCAGTAGTACTCCAGCTAAAACTCAAATCGCAAACACATCCGTGGTTGGCAGATATTCTATCTCTGAACCACCGACGCATCCTGATGGTATAAGGCATTCTACTAAGCAGTTCGGACATAATTGAATAAATGTGCATGGAATGTAGATCACCTGTAACACTGCGCTTTTTCATTGGACACTAGTAACTAGTATGACGTGTCTAGTCCTTTCTTTGGTACAGACTGACTTTCATCAGTCAGGTTTGCAATGTGGCCACCATTCTAGGTAGCTCGCCATCACTGCACTTTATTGATCGTTTAGGTTTACAATTTTTACTGGTGGGCGTCACAGGTAAATGTAAACCAGACGGGCAATGAAACTAAGAAGGACTAGATAACACTGTCTAACCATTGCACTCATTCAATAAAACTGTCGACGAAGTCATATCCAAAAGCAACCATTTTTATGAAAATGGATTCTCAATTCATGAAACTGAATAATAGTTGTAGAACACTGAGTTTTGAAAGCATGTGGTAAGTGAGGGTAAAATTGATACTGACCAAAATATTTCTAACACAGAACATTTATTGTAGGACATAAAACACCTGGACTTGCTATTGCATAGGGTTTTAACTAATTACCCCCTATGAAATGTTCAGTGATATTGAAATAGCTTTGAAATCGATAGAGAAAGAAAGACCAGATTTGCGGTATAAAATGATATCATTCTATTTCACAGGTTCTCATCAGCTGCAAACTACCTGAAAGTACAATGGTTATAAATAATAACATTTCATACTTCATTGTTTGAACGGTAATAGATAAAACATTATAAGGTGAACGCATCATCAATTTATATACTATCAAACTATGAAAAAAGAAAAAAGGGGGTGAGAGAAGACAAAACAGAAAAAAATCTAGTAAACAGTGTCAACACGGCAACTCAAGAAGGTCAAAGTTCATCAATTCGAAAACTTGGTTATTAAGTTGAGCTCACTGGTGTGTAAAACTAATCAGTGTAATAAAAGTGATATGGTTACCAAGGGAGTGAGAGATTGACTACACTCTCTTTCTGTATGCATAAGTTTGGTCTGTCACGTTTGATTGCAATTGCTTCAGCAAATCGTAGTAGATTCCCTATCCTTTGTATGTTTAATATTTTGAAGGATTTGGAAATCTCGACAGAATGACCCGTATGCACAAGGTGTCTGGTAATCGCACTGTGTGAAATAGAGTGATATCATTTTATACTGCAAATCTGGTCTTTCGTTCTCTATCGAAATTTATCAAGGGAACCAAATGTATGAAGCTTTGAAATCGACTTCGATTCACAGTGATTACAACACTTATTCTAATCCATGCAGTGAACCTTCTTAAAAACATCAAAGTAACTATTAATCAATCAGTGGGAAGTGATTTATCTTTACACTCACAAACTAACATCAAATCCATTGAACACACTCAACTTAATACTTCAACTTTAAAATATGTACAAACATTTAAGTAAAATTACTGTAACAAGGTTGGTCGTGGGCTGATATTAGTTACATAACCATTCGAAAGTCAACGAATACTAGATAGCTGTTGCGTCGTAGTTTGGAACTCTTCATCTGCACACCTCCGAAGGAATCTGAACCCAGAACGTCCAGGTTACAAAGCCAGCTCGTAGGCTGTTCAGCCACTGGAAACCGATTCAATCGTCTATTAGTTCCAACTTTTGCCAGTTCGCGAGATATAGCGCAACAGCCAGCCAATTAATTGTTCTCTTATCTGACTTGACATATTGATAAAGAGTCCTGAACGAGTAAGAAACAGATGACTCTTTAGCCGATGTCAGCTCGCAATCAAACCTGTAGTCAATCAAATTCCAGTAAACCAACACTTAAACTTACTACTATTATTTATACTATTTTACTCTGTTTAACTGATGTGTTTTGGTTTCCTGTTCTCTGACATTCAATTTTCCTAAACCCATTTGTTTATTTACTTTATAGAATACTGAATCACAAAAGCAGACTGAATACGTGTCTGAAAGAGAACGATGCATAGACCGAGGTCCAGCATGGATAAAAGCTATATGTGCATTTATCATACTATCAAGTCACTATGGTATACTAAACTGTGGTGCTTTATTCTATCCTGGACTAGAGGAAGCTCTTCAAATTCCACTGAATGTTCTCTGCTGGCTGATGACTGGTCAATTTGCAATTACATTTTGTTTGGGTAAGCACTGATTTAAAAAAAATGTAGTTATCATTTGATAGAAGTTTTTAAATTGTCAATATTTGTTTTCTTTATCACGCAATACTGTCAATACAGTCCAATTCATTTATCAGTAAAATGTGGGATGAATGGTCAAAATGTTTTTAGTCACTGAAACTATATAAAATCACTAGCAGCTGATAAACGTATTTCTTGTTATTATTTTGTCAACACATCCATTAAAAAGAATACGAATGAAATATCGGAAAACATGAGAAGTCTTAAGGAATTTCTCTTACTTTTTATGGTCGTGAAATAAAAAGCGTTAATGGAGTTAGCGTCGAATAACTTATCCTTGGAATTACATGTTGAATTGATAAATTATAACAACTAGACCATGGAAATCCAGTTTTTGCGAACCGTTAATATTTCTACTAAGCGTTGCTTTCCTTATCCATTTCCACCTCTTCATTTCATGCTGTATATTTTAATAAGCAAAAAGCATTATTTCCAAGGTCCTAACACCACACAAGTCATCTATCTGTTTGTAATTTTTCCCAAAGACTCTACACTCCAAACTACTTAAATGATCTTGTCAACTGGACTCATTGTAGCTGGATAAAGAATGCTATTAATCAGAAAATATATACTATTGTCGACAGTGACCTACTGACGCTGCACAGTATTGCTTAAGTCACAGAACTCAGCTTTTGAATAGATTGTTTTAGTGCATCGGTGGCACAGCGGTTAGGACTCTCGCCAACCATGCACATGCTCCGCGGTTCGATCCCCTGCTGACGCACACCTGATATTTATAATCGGCCTGCAAAATTTGGGCTAACGATATCACAGGCTGAAAATTCAATACATTTATCAAAACATACAGTGTGGCATCAAGCTGTAACAATAAATAAATAATACATAATAGTACTCAGAGTGCATAGTTGTTTTGTTTTTATAATGATCTGGAGACTATCTGGGACAGCATTAGTCAATCATACTGATCCTAATGTCACTCTATAATGATCCCGGTTGAAAGCAAAACTTAGGTTGCTACAGGTTTCAAACTGTTATGCGTTATTATCATTATTTTAGGTAAAACGTTTGGCTCGATCGCATGGTTTATACTACAAGTGCAAATAAAGCAATCATGATTATATTCAGCTGTAATCTTCTATATGAGGTATTTAAATAAAATTATTTTTTTTCGATTTATTTTAGCTACCAATATTTATGCACTGTACACTAAATAGACCAGATGGCTAGATAGGCAAAACTGCTTCTCCGGTTATTATTACTTTTCTATTTACTGTTCATCATAAATGCTGAAATAAGCTGTATGTTGTGAGAGAAAATGAATTGCATAGTCTGCTGATAAGAGTTAATCTAAGTGGTAACAAATAGAAGAACAGACCACAATCTGAAAGAAAGAATATAAAACCTGGTGTATTGATAATTCTATTGACAAATTCTCAGCAAAAGTATCTTTACTAGATCAGAAGAAATATCTCAATAAAATTCGGCGACTCAGGTTTTCGCATCCTTCTTACACACAGAAAGCTACTAATCAAAGCATATATATATATTTAAACATTATAAATAAGTGGCTATCCATCAGTTCGCATACAATATTAAGAAATTAGAATTTGTGAGTATATTTGTTGTTGTACAAGTTGCTGGTTACGTGTAACCGTGTATTCACTTAAATAAATCCACGGATGAATTCTACAGTTGAATCACTCAAAATGTGGTGAGACATGTCTCCCAGCCAAAATTGGTAGGCAGCAATTTATGTCAGTGTTTACGTCCCAAATATTGGTCATGAGAAATAAACAAGAACTAAGGCTGACTCAAAAACCAATCACAATAGATGTTGCGTGGGTGGATACGATTCGCAGATATATGCTCTGACCATCAAAAAACGGCCATAGACAGATGCCAGAATAACTTTCAGTGAGAAAACAACCAATCAGAAGACGCCATTTAATTGCAAATAATAACGAATAATAATGTACATATATATATATATATCTTTTGATTTCCTCAATAAACGATGTCGCTTGGACCTTGTCTTCTGTCATTACAAAAAGACGGCTTAATTTTATCTGTACTGTGGAAACAGATCAAAAAATCGTTTCCTCTATACATATCACACCATAACTGATAAACAAAATGTCGTTTACAATCATAAGGAAGTGGGTTTAAAGACCACCTGCTGCAATTAAATTATCTGATATTTATTCTTAAATTACATCACAGAATAAATGTTGAATGTCAGTGTTTATCTAAACACACCTTAGTCTTTCTAGAGCCTAACCATTCTCTTTTTAGGTAGAGTATGAAGACATTTATAATGAAGTTGACTTTTATCTAAATATATGTATATCAAAGAAAAAATAAAAGTAACTCAATATTTTCAGTAAATAAGACTGACTTCTATTTATTATTCAAATATTTTTGTTGGTCTAGAGATTGTCTATTTTTACCTTTTGATTGTGATTCTTTTAACCTGTACTCCATACGAAATTACGGCAAAGATAACTTGATGACTTTTGCTAACAATTCTCAGTATTCAAAACCTTTGAATTTATTCGTTGTAAACATTATATTCGTGATATATTCATATGAGACATCAGTAATAAATTAGACACTAGGTTTACTGGATCCTTGTTGGCAGTCATAAGAAAGCTCAAAACTTAAGTTTAATGCCTACTGTTGTAATGACAGAAGACAAGGTCCAGGCAACAGATCGCTTATTGAGAAAATCAAGAGGTATTTATAGATTTTTAATGTGCATTATTATTGGTATCATTGTTAGTGGAGAAGAACAATAACAAAGCCTAACCTTAAGAAAATTGCCAGCTAATCACAGCAGAGTTGGAGTGTGGAAATACGATTCACAGGTATCCTGAGAAACGGCCGCAAAGAGATGACAGAATAACCTTCAGTAGAACAGCAACCAATCACAATAGGTTGCTTCTCCACTAACAATGATACCAATAATAATGCACATTAAAAATCTATAAATACCTCTTGATTTTCTCAATAAGCGATCTGTTGCCTGGACCTTGTCTTCTGTCATTACAACAGTAGGCATTAAACTTAAGTTTTGAGCTTTCTTATGACTGCCAACAAGGATCCAGTAAACCTAGTGTCTAATTTATTACTGATGTCTCATATGAATATATCACGAATATAATGTTTACAACGAATAAATTCAAAGGTTTTGAATACTGAGAATTGTTAGCAAAAGTCATCAAGTTATCTTTGCCGTAATTTTCGTATGGAGTACAGGGTTAAAAGAATCACAATCAAAAGGTAAAAATAGACAATCTCTAGACCAACAAAAATATTTGAATAATAAATAGAAGTCAGTCTTATTTACTGAAAATATTGAGTTACTTTTATTTTTTCTTTGATATACATATATTTAGATAAAAGTCAACTTCATTATAAATGTCTTCATACTCTACCTAAAAAGAGAATGGTTAGGCTCTAGAAAGACTAAGGTGTGTTTAGATAAACACTGACATTCAACATTTATTCTGTGATGTAATTTAAGAATAAATATCAGATAATTTAATTGCAGCAGGTGGTCTTTAAACCCACTTCCTTATGATTGTAAACGACATTTTGTTTATCAGTTATGGTGTGATATGTATAGAGGAAACGAATTTTTGACCTGTTTTCCCAGAATAAATAAAATTATAAGTCATATTTCTGTTACAACAGAAGACAAGCGCCGGGCAACAAATCGTTTATTGAGGAAATCAAGAGATATTTATATTCAAGTGTTGGTTTGTAGGGATTTGGTTGATTGGTTACAGAATTTCATCATCAGCTGACATCGGTGAGAGAACCATTAGAAAACCTGGGAGTACTGGACGGCATTTTCGTCCTAGTTGAGGACTCTTCGGCAGTACGCACTGATCGGGATTCGAACCCAGGACCTTCTGGTTACAAGGCGAGCTCGTATACCATTTCGATGAAATAAGTGTTCGCTATTCTTCATTAACTTTCTTTTAGGTGTTGAACGTCTTAATTTTCATTTTGATGGTTTCAAAAGTCTCTGAATATACAGACTTTTCTAAAATTTGACTTAAATATCATTTCAAGAAGTACTTTTAATTACGCATCTCTTGATTTTAATTAATACCTGTATTTATTCGCCTACTTTTAACTTTTTCAGCACCACTGTATAATCGTTTATTGGATTTGGTGTCTAATAGACCTGCGACAATTATATCGGTTGCAGTTACAAGTGGTGCAATCATCTCATCTGTATTCTTTAATAGCTATTTAGGATTCTTTCTCACTTATACACTAGTTGGTGGTAAGTTAATTATTTTTTGATTCAAAAAAATATACTTTTAATGGATCTGAATAAAGCAAGAACAACAGCTTTTGCAGAATAAAATGGTACCGTCATTTATTTCATTGGCTTCTCATCAGCTCAGCTGCTTACAGCCCAAAGTCATAAATAAAGAGCGGTTATCAGTCTTTCCTTGCCCTGATAAATGGATGTTTTCATCCTCTTTTTCAAATGTTTACACAACACCGAAGATTTCCATTGTGTATTGTGATCACTATTGTTTGGGACAAAGTGTTCATTATTATTGTATATGTTAATTGTTGTGTGTACAGATTGATTGATTTTTGTGTAAAACTGAACTCTGTGCAAGTGTGTTGAAATTGTTTCTGACTTTGGACTGTAAGCAGCTGAGATCATAAGAAGCCAACGAAATAAATGATGGTACCATTTTATTCTGAAAAAAAACTATTGTTCTTGCTTTATTCAAATTCATTTAGGAGGAATAAATGTATTATGCATCTATTAATATTCCCTTATGTTAGTAGACTATTAAAATGAATTGGGTTATAATTAAGGCTAACTAAATTAAAACAGAACAATCTCCTAATGCTTTTAGGCAGCTTAGTAATACATATTCCCATGAGCAAATACCAACATCTTAATCTGGTACACTAGTTCTCTTATTTGTGTTTGCGAAATAGGGTACAGAATAGCCATAGTAATTTGATAATTTGAGTAAAAATGTATCCAAGGAAGAAAACGGAAGATAAAGTCAAAGGCTATGAATTTCAAAAATATTTACCTTTATAAAACCAGCAGAAAATACTTCATAGCATGAATGATTTTGAAATTAGGTATCATTTTTTTCCATTTCATTAGCTTTGCTCGATAAATATGAAAACAACTTACCTTTCTCTCTCTCTCTCTCTGTATTTCTCCTATGCATTGTTTACAAATTTGAATTCTAATATTATTTAACAGTGGACTAGTTGATGAAACTTCCTAAATCATTTAAAAGAAATCCGTTGTGAAGTCATGGTTGAATTTTCTCATCGAATTTTTCGGAGACATACACCGAAAGTTTATTTTGGATTGCCTAGAAAGAAAGTTTTAATGCGACATTCACATAAATGTTCTAATAAAGAGAAAGGCAGTTAATATGTATATAAAGACGAGTGTTTCCGAGTTCTAAAAAAGGTAAAACTGTATCTTGGGTTAAAACGCGTCAATGCTCGCCAACGTGCCACTTAACCAGCCTGTTAATATTCTAGTCGACAGGCACTTGGACTCATGTGAAAAATGGACTAAATTCATTCTATTTACATAACTCACACCACCCACTTCAATCAACACTCTCCCCTTGTATCTCATCAGACAGCCAAAACCAGAAGCCTATATAGGAAAGTATATGCTCGCACTAGCAAGTACAAAAACTCAGCTATACCCTACTTAGCTCGTGTTCTGTGCGATAAAAAAGCGTTTGGCGTGATACCTACAACTTATTAAATATTCAGTAGAACAACTGGATCACGTCTTTCCAACTCATATCATTTATAGGTACTACGTCTTCTTTCTTTCTGTTCCTTTTCTCTCTCTTTTTTTCTCTGTTATGTGCTGCTTTGTTTCTTTCTTCCTTACTAACTCTAAAATAAAACATTCTTGTTCGTTTTTTCACACTCTGTATATCTCGACCTTTTTGTTACTGTTTACGCCAGTAAATATGGTAGCATCTACTTTCCTAACAGCTTCAAACACTCTGTTCAATTTTGGCTTTGCTACCGACATGCCAATATGTTGTTGTCAGAACTAACTGAGATTACCCTTAATCTATGTAGAATTTTATTTATTGTTAGTGTACTAACTGGATGCAACACTGTAGTAAAATGCTAAGAATTCCATTCTGTATCACAAGTACTGTTTTGGAATAAAGCAAATTATTACTATCATTAACAACTTAACTCACCAGAAATCGAAAACTAATGGCAAATATTACATATATACATCTATAAATATATAAATATATATATATCATCTATATTATAGTACTACAAATATCTTCGTGAGCACCTTTAGATTGAAACTGAATCTTTCATCAGCAACAAAATGTTCGAATTCATAAGACCATCCGGCTCAAATATACCACGACTCTACGGACTTCCGAAAGTACACAAGAAGGGCATCCCTCTTCGACCGATCCTCGACATGACCAATTCGCCTTATGACCGCACACCCCAATGGCTAGCAGATCTACTAGAACCAATCAGAAGACAAGTTTCCTGCCATACAGTTCGAGATTCATTCGACTTTATCGACTCAATTGAAAACATCAACGTATCCAACAGGACCGTGATCTCATTAGATGTCACATCACTATTCACAAATGTTCCACTGACTGAAACAATATGCTATATATGCGAACTTATTGATTTCAAAGGAATAAACATCGGTATACCCACCGAGCGTCTTAAAGAACTCCTGCTGAGGTGTACCCTGAATGTTCAATTCTCTTTCAACAACGAAATATATCGCCAAAATGATGGTATAGCTATGGGCTCACCACTAGGCCCATTACTTGTAGACTTCTTCATGGAAAAACTCGAAAACACATGCATGAAGAAAATGATCGATACCTTCGGAATCTACAAGAGATACGTCGGAACGGACAGCTTATTAACTTCCACGGTTGGGTGCCCCTATACACCAAACGGAACCTGATCCGTTCACTCAGCTACAGGGTTCACAGAATTTGTACCCCGGACACCGTAGAAGATGAATTGGACAATCTCAAGAGAATCCTCGTCGAGAATTGTTACCCAGAACGATTTATTGCAAAATCTATGAATCTTAGGCCACAAAAGCCGCCCATGCATAGCGTCCCGAAGAAACCACTCTACATGAACCTTCAATTCAATGGAGATATATCTGCGGAAACACTAAAAAATCGACTGTCGCGCTCACTCAAGAAGACCTTCTTCGCAGCTGAACTACGACTAACTTTCTCCACAAAACCTATGATTCATGTGAACAGTGAACACCTTTCAGATAACTGTTCTACAGATAAGTGATTTCTATTTGTTTTCGGACATCATTACAGTACACCAGTTCATAACTCTCTGAACGTCATACTCATTATTTCTTTAAGCCAGTAGCGATATTTTTTTCACATGGAAATGGAATGATCCCATTGCACAAGTTATCAGTTTGACATAAGGGTTATATCAGATGATGATAATAATAACAATAATAATAATAGTAAGCCATGTTCAAACCTTGAGAAATTAATAAGTACTAACTTCTGAACAGTAACATGAAATACAGTCAACAAAAATACAGCTTATTAAAACAATATATGTATATAATTTTCATATAAAAGTACAACTTTGACAGTGTGATATCATATAAGTGAGTTTTGTTTTCTTGTCGACTAGATAGATCACACTATGAAACAGTTTTATTTACTGTAAATAAGAGAGATTCACTGCATGTATCACATATCTATTAAATAAGATTATATGGAATACAAGATTTATTACTTATATCGATAAGAATACTTGCTGAATTAATGTTAACTGTCAGAAAATGAAGGCCAACTATAATTGATAAGCTCCTCAAAAGACATTTAACTGTAGTGGAATTTCCAGTGTTTTAAGACTTTGTTTTAATGCGTACATATATGTTATGTACTGCTGCTGTGTGAGTTATTAGTAGTTTTCCCTGTCGTCAATTGTGTTATGTACTCGTTGAGTAGTTAATAGTCCTGACGCGGAAAGAGGGAAATCAGAAGACCACCAGGTTTACGATGATACTTATATTTTCCAGACAAGGAGAATAAATGTCACACAAGTGTGTGAGTGCAAGGGTACTTAGATGTACGAAAACATGAGAACCAGAATAATGTACAAGTGTCTAATACAAAAGTATATATGAAAATGGCTAATACACATGAAACAATCAATAGCCAATCTTAACATGATCGGTTGTAATGTCATGTGATAATAAGGTTATACATTGTTTATTCAGTTAGTGGACAGACAAAAGCATATTGTCCCTTATGATGAAATATCGATTCATATACACATAGCAAAATATAATAGACTGTCAAAAACAAAACACACATCATGTGGCTACATATCAATATACGCACTGTCTCCAATGCCATTTTGCTCTTTTCCATTGTACTGTTAACACGCACATCCTTTGAGTTTTTTCTATATAGCCATATTCTTAAGATAAGTTTCAGATCTTTTACCTTGGAGAGTGTTTACCTTTCATTCTACTCAATATACTGCTAACCAGAGGACATTACTTTAATAACTAAGTCTTTTTATTGTGTGCTTGTCTCCAGTACGTACAGGTTAGGTAGAGTACTAAACTATTGGGTACATAGATAAGTTACATTTAACAGTGCCTGGTTATGTAGCTTATTAACAGCACTACCAGTACCTTAAATATCCATAAAATCAGAATAAACACTTGTCATGAAAAAACAAAAACAAAAAAATCTGGTTTCTTACAGTAGATTTAGTTGGCTTGAAATAGTCAGTTTATATGTCTACAGGGAATCTTTTTCTCGCTGCTTTTAGTATTGCTTAGCGATGAATAGCGGTGGAATCCGGAATGATTGTTAAATCATATTTTTCAATGTTCAGTGAGTGATAAACACTCCAGTGTTTGAAGCTTTGTGTTCAAATTTCAATGGTAAGGCATCAGTCACAGGTAGACAAAGAATCGTAAGTTATGGAATTCATAGCCAACTGTTAATAATCACGGATCAATAACAGTTAGAGAACCACTAAAAAGCTGGAAGTACTGGACATCTGTTTATTTCTAGTTTTGGACTCACTGGTAGTATGTACCCACCGGAGTTCGAATCCAGGAGCTTTTGGTTACAAGGTGAGCTTGTAGACTATTCAGCCATTGGTCCATGAGCCGTAACTCCTACCCAATTCGTAATTTTAGCGGACCACCAGCCAGCCAATGTCATCGGCTGGTCACGACCTCTCACTAGAAATCCCGGCAACATCGTCCTGCAGCCCGTCACTAGCAACCATCAGATTAAGATTTAAGAGTGTGTTTGTAGAGAATCGATTTGTTTCAAGTTTCTGCTAACTAACACTGGTAAATAAAAAAATGACTTGAATATAGACAAACTTTCAAGTATCTAAAGTGAAAAAAGGAGAAGAAATCAACTTAAAAATATACGGAAATGGGAAATCAATAAAATAGACTAGAAATTCACTTAAGAGATGAGACTAACATGTTGAAAATGGACAGAGAAAGAAAAATCAAAAGATTATTGTTGCAGTGAGTGTGAGTAAGTAAATAAATAATAACAAATAATGATTCACAAAGCAAGTAAATTGACAGAGTTTCGAACCGGATGTTAGTACAGCGAATAGGGAGAATAATCTTCAATAATCTATTTTCAATTCTAATAAAAATATTACAAATTTATCCAATGATAAAAACAATATATGAAATAGTGAAGTTACCTTATCCACTTATACATTTGCAAACTATTATTGTTATATCCTCTAATTCCTAGAGGAACATAGAGCTTCAGCTGCGCGTCTCCATTGCCTTCGGTTTTCGGCCAACTTTTTCACCCCACTCCAAGTCTGCCCACATGCTTTCATCTCCTCTTCACATGATCTCCTCCAAGTCACCCTTGCACCGACGACCAACTCGCCGCTTCCCTTTCAGGTTCCACTCGAGCAATGGCTTGTCTAGTGATGTCACTTGAGGGCTTTTTTCCTCAGAGTATGGCCAGCCAATCCATCTCCATTTCTTTCTGCTTATTTGTTTCACAATCGGTTCCTGGTTGGTTGGTTCGCTCATTTCCAGAGATCCCTGTTGCTGATCTATTCTTGCCAGCCATCTGATCTTGAGTATTGAGCGAAGACAACTGTTAATGAAGGTCTGAAGTTTGTTTGAGATGCTCTTTATGACGCGTTTTATGTATCTAAGCAAAATGTAGCGCACTAACCCACATTTTCAAACTGTTAATCTGAAATGTAGTATCAAACAAATGATTTAGGTTTTAATATAAAGTCCTAGATGTAAAGGTTTGGAAATTCTTGAAACAGCTTTAAAAACTTGATTGTACATTTTCACGAATGCAATATGATTTTAGTGAAAAGTATTTTTAATTACATTATGCCTATTCTATTGATATGCTTATTTTCGAATATTATTTCTTTCTGTGTTTCTTAAATTCAGGTATAGGAATGGGTATAAGTTTTGTTCGAGTGATAGCTGTTATGGCTGAATATTTTAACAATTACAGAATATTTGCATTAGCTATTTGTAGTAGTGGTGCTGGTTTTGGAACTGTCATTTATTCCCAACTGGGCAATTATATGATTGACAATTATACATGGCGTATTGCATTAATCTCATTTGCTTTAGTTCATCTTAATGTTATTCCATTAAGTCTTTTAAATCGTCCCTTGTCATCAGAACCAACACCAGAGCCTACAATTCTAATGCCTAATGATCCAATCATGTCTACAATGAGTTTAAAATCTGTTCCAGGAATACCAAATATGTATGCTTCACAAATAAGTACAATGGGTGGCGGTATTGTTGGTAGTATTTTAACTAATATGGATGAAACTGGTCAAAAGTGTAGATCAGAGACAGCGTTTACTCGTTTAACAGGACAAGATATAATTGGTGTTGTAGAATTTATTAAAATTAGCTGTGATAAATCAAATACTAATGAATTAACTGTCAGTCCAATCAGTTTTATCAATGATTTGGAACCACAGATATTAGAGCGTATACAAACAGCGGCTGATGAATATTTCGACAATTTAGAAAATAATACACCTGAAACACTATTAAACAATGTGAATGAAACTCATTTGAACATGTTCCTTCCAATTATCTTCTTAGTCTGTGATCGATTATCTGGAATTCAGAGTAATTTACCATCAGAAAAACAAATTTTACTTGGTAGTCGTTTAAGTGGTATAGAAAAATTGTTTACTGATCGGTCTAGCCAACTAGGATCTACAGCGTTTATTAACACAAACACAAGTATTGAACAAATACCAAATTTGAATAAAACAACGACTCCAAAAACAGTACGAAAACCTAGTTCATTTATTGGTGATTCAATCACTTCAAGTGTACTTAAAGCTTATGATGCTAAACAAACTGAGAATATGATACGTGCAATTATTCAGCGTGCTTCAAATAAAGTAACAGAAATTTCAAAAGAATTAATATCCAATAAAATACTTGTTCATTCTAAACCACTGATTGTGATTGTAAACCAGAAATCTATTGATACAGTCAATTCAAAATTGCCATCAGAAGATCGACTATGTGTACTGGGCTACACTAAACCAGGTGATGATACAATTTTTGAAGAGAGCGAAAATGAATATCAAAATGATAATGAAAATGATGATGATGATAATAATAATGACAGTGGTAATAATATTGACAATGAAAATATCAGCCCAAAATCTGAACAGACTGTCAAAGAGACTGATAAAACTTCTAGACGTAATAGATTAATTTCACCTGGATATCATTTAACTAACTCGTACTTAAACCTTCGTAGTCCTAAGCTTTCCTGTGGATCTAGAGGATATATTGATCAGATGATACGTAGTGGGACTACTGTTTATCAAAGTCAAGCAATTATAGCACCATTTTACAAGTACAGAGATGTACCTGTCAAAGCTAGCTATTTGTCGATGACTTCAGTGACGGAACCGAAAGAAGCTGTTGAATACTTGACATCTAAAATTGATACTGAACAAGACCAAGAATATTCATCAGATGAAGAAAGGAAAAAAGCTAAACAGTCAATTGTAAATTCAAAAAATATTCTATTTTTGAGCTTTTTAATAACTCGTACACTAACCTACATTGGTGATTCTATATTATTTGCACATTTCATTAATTTCGGCATTAGTAGTGGACTGAAAGAAGAACAAGCAACAGGTCTGCTCGCATACGTTGGTTTGGCAAGTATGTTAGGCAGATTAGGCATAGGATTAGTCGGGCAGTTTTCAGAGAAACTGGAAATTCGTTCAATTGTGGCAGTAACGCTGTTCATTTTATCCATACACACTATATTTATGCCGTTCTATCCAACGTATCCAGCGTTAGCTGGTTATGGCATATGCTACAGTTTGTTTGTTGGACCTAGTTTTGCATTCTCAAATTCAATGACTATTCAAATTATGGGTGATGCAAAAATGGATCGCAGTTTATCACTGGTACTATTCTTTGAAGCAACAGGCTATCTTATTGGTGGACCTTTAGGAGGTGAGTTAAATCGAAGAAATTAGTTTTGTTTCTTTGCAGGATCTCATCATTAGCTGACATCAGTTCGAGAACTATTGGAAAACCTGGGAGTACTGGACAACTGTCTATTTCTAGTCTGGGGCTCTTCAACAGTACGCACCCAGGACCTTCTGGTTACAAGGCTAGCTTCTAAACCATTAAGCCACTGGGACTCGATCCAATGACCCATGCAATCTGACAAAGAGTTCCAAACTAGGACGAAACAGCTGTCCAGTACTCTCAGGTTTTCCAGTGGTTCTTCAAGTGATATAAGCTTATGATGAAATCTTTCAACCAATCAAACAAAATCCCTACAAAACAAATACTTGAAAGTTTTATTTCTTTTGACAACTTCTTGGCCGTAGGTTATTTCTTCCTTGTGAGTAATGGTGTCACTGTTAAAAAAGGTTGCCCAAAATGATGCAAATGTCAAATGGATTTCACTATCTATTACTAGGAAATAAATAAAATACAATGCAAGCATCGGTCCTACAAACGAACATGTCAAAACAGACTGATTTAACAGGTGCAGTAAAACGAGTAGTTAGAAATCACAATTATCATATGAAGTGTCGAACGGAATATTCCCATATTGAGGCATAAGAAAAATATTTAAACAGAGAAGAAAATTTTCTTTTCGGTGACTCATTTTCATAAGCTGAATAATCGTAATTATATGAAATAAAAATTTCACACGACCAATCATAAAATGGTGAAATTTGTCCTCAGAAAAGTATTACGTAATGTAAGGTGTAATCTAGAAGGGATGACTAACTGGGAATTAGAAAAGGGGTAGAAGTAGGGATGACGTAATATATGTGAGAAGATGACTAGTAAATATAATTGTGAAGACTGGACAAGGACTAGTAGAAAGACAACAAGGTATTTTTATAAAATCCGTATAAAAATGCAGTGTTGCTAATAAACAGTCGCAGAGTGATAATAAATATGGATAATAGTAATAATATTAATAAACTTACATAATAAAAAGAAGCAAAACTGTGGTAAGAACGTTACTCTTGCTTCTTTTTATTACACTATTATTATTATTTTATTACCATTATTAATCCCATCAGCCATATTTTATTATAATAATTTATTATTATTCCGTTGTGTTGTGCGTCGGTGGTACAGCGGTTAGGACGCTCGCCGATTATGCACATGGTCCGCGGTTCGACCCCCGGCCCACGCACTCCTTTACCTCGCTGAGCCAGAAATAATCCTGGTAAAGAGGAAAGGTTGGACATGAGGCTAACAACCCCATCCTGTAAAAGTAAACACTTCTACAGAAACTTCAAGCCACTAGCTTGAGGCCCTATGTTCCACTGGGGAACGTGAAGGAAAAAAGTTCCGTTGATTTCCGAGTGGAACATATGGCTTCGACAGCACATCTCCACTTTGTCCTATTTTCTGGCCTCCTCTTCAGATAGGTTCACTATTTCCCATGGTCTCTCATCTCCTCCTCGCCATACGATTTCCAAATCACCCTCACACTGACGACCCACTAGTCACTTCCATTGGGATTTCACTCGAGCACTGGCCTGTACTGAGTGCTATGTCATTCCACGTCCTCCTCAACGTATGCCCAATGCATGTCCACTTTTTCCTACATATTTGTTGAGCGATTGGCTCTTGGTTGGTTTGTTTGCAGACAGAGTTTCTTGTTGCTAATTCTTTCTGACCGACTGGCCATTTGATCTTCAGTATGGAGACGGTGTAGGCAGCTGTTGATAAAAGTCTGTAAATTGTTGAAAATCCTTTCCGTAACGCGCACTGCAAGTTTCTGACCCATAGAGAAGAATTGACTGACTTAACTTTTGTATTTAAAATCTGAATATTGTTATTTATGCTGGTTGAGCGTAGAAGATTTCGAAACTGGTTTCAGGTTGATGAAGGCATATCTTGACTTTCCGATTATGGTTTTGACATCTGTTCCATCTGTGGTTGAAACCGTGCTTTCTAGATAAGTGGCAATAATAATTACAGTAAACTTACTTAATGAAAAGAAGCAAAATTATGGTAGGGAAGTTACTCTGGCCACGATAGGACGAGTGATTGTATGTAATGATTTCGACTGCAGGGGTCCGTTTTTAGATCCCAAATAGCCAATGATTCAGCTATGTACAGATGGTGTATTCGAAGTTCTTTCATACGATATTGAGGACTCTGTGTAGCACCGTGAATCATTCATACGACAGGTACTTGATGTCAGAGTTGACAAGTTGTCCGGGGATTTGGCTGCTAGTATTCTTCACTTCTCCTCTGGCTACCTGGCTAGCTAGGCTGGACAATGTTCCAGAATACATCTGTGAACCTGACGTTGCGTACGGCGGATATACTTTGTTCCACACGAAGAAGCAAGTGAACTGATAAATACACATTGAGGTGGCCAGAATGTTATCTTATCCTTAGCGTTAGACTGAATTAATTATCGGCTGGAGAATGTGATACATAAGGTGGTTGCTTGAAATGTCTTCTTCAGACATTCAAAAAGGCGGTGTCCAAGAATTTCTACATTGATGTCACCCTTGAATTCGAGGTTCGTGAAGAGAGTTTTCTTAGGACAAGTTGTGATATTTGGCGACGGAGGCTTTTCCTTCATATTTTTGTCGATGAGTCTTGTTGGATACCCATTCTCTAGTAGGGTTTCACGTAATGAATTTAATTCTTTGTATATCTTGTCTTTCCGAATCCTTGAACTTATGTTATGTACGTATTAGGTTTTGTTTTCGCATCAGTGGGACGAAGCTCAGGAAGTTGATAAACTGTCCTGTCCATGTTGGCTTGCGATATATTGACCCTTGAATTGTTCACCTTTGTCTTCTGGTAAACATTACACTCAGGAATGGAAATACATATTTGATACACGTTCTAAGGTGAATTTTATTGATATGGTGTGCCACTTTGAAGGTCTCGAAGCGATACTCTCAATCATTGATATAAGTATAAAACTTGGGCACTGTGGTAAAGTATAACTCCATTATGGGTAAGATTTTATTTTGATAAATCACACAGTGTTATACAGTAATATTAACTGATGACGTTTCGAGCACAAACTATTGCCACTCATAATCATAACTTGTTTTCTTCTACTTTTTATTTAGGTATTATTAAAGAACAAACTGGAAATTATTCATCTGCATTTTTATTTTCTGGATTATGTAATATAATTGCTTCTATAATTGTAACTGTGCATGCTTTGATTAAATTTAATTCATTTGAAAGGATAAAAAAATGTTTATTTCCACGAGTAAAGCAAAAAATTGACAATTTAAATGAACTTTCAGTTTAACGACAAGAATTTATTTATTGTTTTTACTTGTAAAGTATCAGATAACCGTTAATAAAATGACAATCATATTTCCCGCACAAATCATCGAAATAGTCAATTTAAACAAAAATGAAAAAAGTCAATTTTTTCTGTATTTTTTATCTTGATACTGACCAGGAAATACGATTATGTAGACGTTCAGTTTACTTATCAGCCCAAACATTAATTAAATCTATTGATTATGACAAGATGATGATGATTACCTGTTAATACAAACCTCCCCCAAAAACATCACATACACATTGATGTTATTAAATTGACATATGGACAGACCTTGAGCAATATATTATTCGATATGTATAAAACAATATTTGTGATTTAAACTTTGGAGCATATCATATACTATATTTTTTCTTGACTACATTTTTCTACACCAAAAGATTTTACAAAAATAACATCACAAGTTCACCTGAGCTTCATTGTGACTACTTTTTTCTTTAGAAATGAAAGAACTTCATAAACTTTATTATTTTGTCATATCGTAATCAAAGAAGTAAACTTTGTTTGTTTTGAGGCAAGTTTGAGCAACACATACCTGGTTGATTAAAACTCATTTGAAAATCCCAAGTAAACTTTACTAAATTGCTATAACATTGATTCTTCTGAATAACCTATTTCCAATGTCAATGTAATCTGCATCACTTGTATTTTTCGTGTGATTTTCTGTGTCTTATGTATTGATTAAGGTGACCTCTTTTATATTATCATTTTTCATATTTTAAATGTATTTTTATCTATTTATTTATTATATCATATTTTCTCAGCTGTCTAAACACTGTATTTGATTTACATTAAATAAATGTATTAAAGTGCATTGATTGATTCAAAGTTCCGCATTTTTCTGAGGTGCAAACATGTAATTGTCTAATGAAACTTGCCTAATATTCCTTGACTGTCCGTTATTCCATAAGTTAACTGAATTGTGATTCACACTATGCTCCTTTGTGTAAAAAGCTTAGATATACCATTTGACCTGATAAGTATGATTTATATATGCACACTTTCTTGGCAAAGTAAAGGTAATTGTGCTATCAGCTGTTGTTTGATTGTTTGTTTTTCTTCATAAAAGTCTATAGAAATATTTTTCATAATTGCGGTATCAAACCCTGGATGACAAACTCATCCAAATAAAAATACGACTTCACAGATTTCCTAGACCCGTGCCATATATCTACGCTTTCACAGGGGTGATTGATTATATGGCGATTCCCTTTTTAGAAGTGGTACAAGGTGCTTTATCCTGTGGGTATTACAGCGTTTCAATAAACAAGCTTAATATATTAGCATGATTTCATGAAAATTCAAAAATGCGAGTTTATGTTTCGTAATTACTGTCTCTCTTAATTCCTCACACTAAGCAGATATCAATATCAAGCGACATTTTTTGCAGAAAAAGCAGAAAAAGTAGTGCAGTTCAAGAATATAATGCAAGTGATAATATGTACGTCAGAAAAATATCTAATGATGTAAAATTTCATTTGAAGAGAATATAAAAACACAACTTGTCATTAAATCATTATAGCAACGAACTACGACGCTACAATTAGCCTGCATATGCAATGAAGTCACTCCTTTCAGATCATTATGGAATGAGAGTCACTCTGTAACAACAGAAGACAAGGGCCAGGATACAGATCCTTTATTAAGGAAATCAATACATATTTACATATTTCCATGTACATTATTATAGATTATTTAAGCAAACAAAGAGTCTTCTGATTGGTTGTTTCTCACAGAAAGTTAATCTTTCATCTCTTTGTGGCTGTTTCTTGAATGCCAGATCATCTTTATGTTAACTGTATCCTCCTACGCAAAGCCCTAGTTCTCGTTTTTCTCACGACCAATATTGGGGACATAAACGCTGACGTAAATTACTGTCTACCAACTTTGGCAAGCAGCCTACTCTCACCACAACTCACCGTGGATTTTATCTGCTACACAAAATTTCTTCAGATAAGTTAACCTACTTATATACACTATTTAGTAGACATACGAGTTATACAAAAATGAGGTGGTGAGTTGAAAAGTGAGATTGAATAGAGCAAGAACAAAGTTTTTTCAAAATAAAATGGGACGGGGATCTAATAAATCATTCGTTTTTATGAAGATCCTGGGCAGCCAACAGCTGATGAAGTGGCCTTAACTGAAGTGTCATTGTACAACATTTTACGGAATTGCATCAATTCAGTTTGTCGAAATTCGTGAAAGGGAGAAAGAAATGTCATGAAATAGTAATTAAACCCAAATCAGCTAACAACCCCCATCGAGGAAAGTGATGACTGGGATTACTTTACGCGTGTTCGATAAATCTCAGTCGATGCAGTATGAAATTTGAAGAGTAATAAGTACACCTTCTTGAACATATTTCATCGTCAAGATCCAACGGATTCAGTACGGTTAGTGATTACATATATTCACTGCTTAGTCTGTAATAGTTGGCAAAACGTTTAAGAGTTTTATCATTGAAAATGATTCCATTCGCGATAAGTGGCACATCGGCAGGAAGCGTTGGTTCTAGGCTTCTTTCTAACTGACACTCTAAAGTCGGCAATGCGTATCTGCAATCTTGAAGGAACTGATGCCCTTCTGAGATTCAAACCCATTTCACCCAGTCAGAGGCCTTACTACTGAGCTGTTTAGCCTCGCGACTGACCTCCTGTGGGACTGCATTGAATATTTTTGATTGGACACTATTTAGTAACTAATGTAATGTATCTAATCCTATCTTTGGTTCAGACTGAGTTCTGTCAGTCAAGTTTCCAGTGTGTCCAGTCAGAAATATCAAACACAGTCCTACAGAAGGCGATGGCGAGTCCGAATAGCTCAGTGGTAACGTCTTTGACTGCAGTACTCCCTGGGTGACGCGAGTTCGAAACTCAGAATGGACATCAGTTCTTTCAAGGTTATAGATATGCCTTGGTAACAAGTTCTAACCAGCACGAAATCTAGGCCCATGCTTCCTGCTGATTGCCTCCAACCATCTAACATCAACAATTCAAAGTACACCTTGATGGCAAGCCACTTAGCATGGTGACCACATAGCAAATTTGACTGAAAGAATTCAGTTTGCACCAAAGATAGGACTAAACACATTACATTAGTTACTGAGTTGTGTCCGATCAAGAATAGAGTATCATAACCCTAGGGAATGACCTACCAAATGACTTTATATAGCCAGTCGGAGTAGCCACATGATAATAATACATGAATGGTAAGAAACGTACCATTAACATAAATCAATAAGAATATATTTAATCATCCTAACCTTAACCTTGATCCTGATGTGGTGAGAGCTGTCTGCTAGCCAAACTGGTAGATAGCAATTGACGTCAATGTTTACGTCCCATATCTTGGTCATGAGAAATAAACAAGGACAAAGACTAACTCAACAAACAATCACAGCAGACGTTGTGTGGGCGGATACGATTAGCAGATATATTGTCTGACCTTCAAAGAAACACCCATAAAGAGATGACAGATTAACTTTCAGCGAGAAAACAACCAATCAGGACACGCTGTTTCTGTGCTAATAATAACGAATAAAAATGTACATAAAAGTATATAAATATCTGCTGATTTCCTAAATAAAGGATCTGTTGCCTGGCCATTGTCTTTTGTCGTTACACTAGTACTAACCCTAACTCTGGTCTAATCCTCAAATTCAATAATGAACTGCGCTCTAAGTGAAAGAAATAAGTATGAAACTGTCGGTTAACGCATTAATACACGGAACAGAATAGATGCTTAACGAGGAACGATCAGATTGGTGATACAGGGTCAAAAAGAAAAGAAATCAAGTTCATTAAACCTTTCTATTATGGAATCAGGAAAATAATGATTACTAAAATAACAGAAGCATTAAATTCATCATGTGATAGTAAATTGAAACAGTATAATTGATAATTAATCACATGACATACTGAATAAAATATACTACTAATAAATACAACATAATTAATCTAAAGTAAAAGGAGTGTGATGATGACAACAGATGACTATGGTCAAAGAAAATGTAACTAATCCAAAGTATGTTAAGATACACTTGATTGAGTAGAACAACACAAGACGGAAAGAGAAAATTTCTGTTAAAGATTAAATTAAAAATCGAGGAATTTAATTTTTCTTAAAAAGTATCAAGTATGATAAGTAAAAAGAAGAAATTTATTCAAGGAAAGCGTAAATTTACAATGGCTTCAGTTGACCTATTAATAAAACAGTTAATTGATCCACGTATAGTAAGTGGTGAAAATGCAAAAATTACAGAGAAAGAAATTATACTTATGATGAAGCATATAGTAGACATTTTCTTAGAAGAACCAGTTTGTATCGATTTAAAATCAGATAGACCAATTTATATAATCGGTGATATTTTTGCTCATTTCCAGGACTTAGTTAATATATTTAATGCATTAGGTCATCCAGATCGTCAGGTTTATTTATTTCTTGGCAACTATATTGATCGTGGTAGTAGATCGATTGAAACAATTACTCTATTATTTGCTTATAAATTAAAACATCCACGTAATATATTTTTATTACGAGGTAATCATGAATGTGAGTATGTTTCAAGTCATTATGGTTTCCTGGATGAATGTATCCAACGATATAGTCGACGTTTATGGAAATCAGCTATAAATACATTTGACTGTCTTCCAGTTGCTGCTATTATTGATGATACAATATTTTGTGTACACAGTGGATTAATCCCATGTATACAATATTCAAATATAGCTAGTAAAATACAATTAAGAGATTATCTAGGTGATATAATTCGACGTCCAGTATCAATACCGGATAACTTATTATTAACACATTTAACATGGTCAGAACCATTAGAGAATTCAACTGGTTGGCAATTGAATCCATGTGGTTTAGGCCAGTGGTATGGTGAAGATGTTATTGATGAATTTTGTCAACGATTTAACTTTCAACAAATTATTCGTTCACATGATTTATTTCATAAAGGTTATGAATTTTCAGCTAATGAAAAATTGCTAAGTATTTGTACTGCTGTTAATTTAATGAATACAATAAAAAATTATGGTGCAGTTGTAAAATTATGTAAATCACCATTAAATAATATAATTAGAGGGACAATAAAAATTATTAAACCAAAGATAAGTTCACATCGAAATAAAACATCCAAAGAAATAATAATTATTGATTCTGCAACTCATAAAACTCAAAATTCTGATAATGATCAATGGGAAGGCGGTGAAGAGACTACTACAGTCACAAATTTAACAGCAACACAAGAAAGCTCATCAAAGAATCAATCGTTAAATAGTAATTTACAATTAAATCCTGAATACATTGATCAGCCTTTATATAGGCAAAGTGCTCATCAAAATCGATTCACCTTACAAAAGGTGTTATAGGATGAGAACGCATATAAAGAGGTGCATATATGCATATATATTATATATGTGGCTTTAAATAAAAAAAAGGGTTTGGGCTTCATTTTTGTTTTAATTCACTAACGTAATTTATGTTTAAATTTTACAGATAGAATATGACAACAGAAAGTGAGTGTGAATACACATGGGAATTTTTATTTTTGTAATATATCATAGCTGCTAGTAGTTTTCCATGTTGGCTTTAGATATTTACAGTTCATGACTTACCGAATATCATTATTGACATCTGAAATATTTTCAGGTTGTGAATGATTTCAGATAAGAATGAAAAGATGATTTTTAAAGTTTGTTGTACACGCACAAACTGTCTACTGACTGACATAGGCATTTAAGGGCACAGGCTACCTTGATACATCATACTAACACCAATATAAGATGCACGAATTTTATGACCGGACCTACGACCTAGTAGACTATGTCATCATTGTTATTTCCTTTAATTCCTAGAGGAACATAGAGCTTCAGCTGCGCATCTCCATTGCCTTCGGTTTTCTGCCAACTTTTTCACCCACTCCAAGTCTGCCCACATGCTTTCATCTCCTCTTCACATGATCTCCTCCAAGTCACCCTTGCACCGACGACCAACTCGCCGCTTCCCTTTCAGGTTCCACTCGAGCAATGGCTTGT